CCTTTAATCCAAAAATGGAACGGGCGGCAGAAGATAATCCGCAGCCTCACACAGGGACGGAAGCTTGACCTGCCTAACCCCTGGTTAGCGCCGCGAAAGCCTCTTCGAGCTTCCTGAGTCGTTCGTCCTTTTCTTCGTTTTCTTGCTGCAACCTTCGAATCTCTTGGCGCAGATCTTCGTTTTCCATTTCTGCTCCTCCTCCGCCTTGGCCTGGCATGCCGAATTGGGACGAAATCGAAGCTCGCCTCCTCTTGCCCGATGCGCGGCGCGTGGGTCTGCTGGTCATTGCATAGGGGCTATCGGGTTCTGCTTCGGCGTCCGGACTGGCGCCTTCGTCGGGATCCTCATGCGCGGCCATGACTGCTGGCGCCGGGTCTGCAACATCGCCGGACGCGTGTCGGTGGACGCGGCGAATGTGCTCGGCAAGGTTCTCCTTGCGCGTGAAACCGGTGCCCATGCTACGCTTGCAGTCCTGGTGGGGGCAGAAGAGGGCCTTTTTGGTGCCGCCGTGCATCTTGTGCACTTCGCGCTCGTGGCGCAGGAGGCCACCAGAGTAGGTGAAGCCTTGCAATTTTTCGCAGCCTTTGTGTCGGCATACGTAGGGACGGTCATGTTTATCCATGTGTTTACTGTGAGAGCGTTAGTCAGGTGGTTTCGTGTTTGACTAGGGGCCAACGCGCGACTTGCCTCCATTCGCACTTGCGGTCAAAGGTGATGCCAGCGCATTCGCTGGAAAAGGTGCAAATCATCTTGCCAAGGGCATTCTTTGGGGGATCCACGGCGCGTTTGTGGGAGTATTTTCCTCGAGGGGTGTAACCTGGATCGCGGTCCTCGGACGAAGGCCTTTCTTGAGCGGTAGATGAAGCAGCAGTGAGCTGGGCGGCGACATCGGAATATTTGCGCTTGCGCGAGGGTTGTTCCATTACTGGTAGGGTCTCTGAGACGCTGTCTGGCGGGGACATGGGACGGGCTCCGGGGATTGTGTGAGGAGGTAGGTTCAATCCTAGGTTGGGTTGAGGGTAAAACACATCCATGGGGCCGGGATAGTTGGTAGCAAAGTTGTTGGAGGTGTAGCGGAAGTGGTTGGTGGCGTTGGCGGCGAAGGCGGATATGTAGTCGGCGGAGTGTGGCGGCGGGACCGGAGACGGAGACGGAGACGGCGAGAGCGAGGAGGGCGGTGCAGAGGGGCGCGCAGACGTAGGCTGCAGGATATCGGAGTAGTCGTCAAAGGTGATGGCGGGTACAGTCAGAGAGGTCAGAAGGTCGAGGTTGTCGTGTTGTTGGATGCCTGATACCTCAGGCCAGACGAGCTGGCTGTGGTGAGCGAGGGCGGACGGCAACGCGTCTGTGTATAAATGGTGGGCGTCGGTTGGGGGCACGAGCGCGGGCGCGGAGAGCTCGGGTACTAAATACTGACAACGGGATGAGTCACTCCTGGTACGGTACGGAGCCTGATCCAAAGCCTGTTGCGCTTGTGCTTGTAGGTGGTGTTTTTGTCCCTCGGCGTCGGCGCCTGGAGAAAAGGACAAGGACCTTGACGACTGCATGTCAACCACCTGGTGCTGTGGCGCAGGCCCGTCCACGTGATGCATTGACGTCGCCTCCCGACCGGCCCGCCGATTTGTCTTGGTTGTTGCATCATTTGAATTCCTACCACGACCGTCGTCAAGTCCTGTTCCAAGAGCCTGCTGTCCATACTGCAAGTCTACACCATCGTCAGTCAAGTCATCAGCAACAATCTTGAAAGGTTTCTCGGCAACTCCCACACCCACCAAAAACAAACTCAGAGATTCGAATACTCACAAGCTCCGTCCGTCGGCCCCTGCCATCCCAGCCGTGGCTCAATCCGAGTCGCTCGCACCCGCGCGCCATGAGCTTGAGCCTCTGCGTAAAACATCCAGCAAACACCCCAGAGCACCGCCAGAGCCGGCCGGATGGTCCACGGCCAAGTCGTGCTCGTCGGCCTCAGGCTGCCGGGGAATTCGCTGAACCACGACCGAGCTAGCACTGCCCGTCTCTCGTGCCCCCACCAGTTGCAGACATCTGCCTGCTCGAGCGCATGAACGAGTCGCTGCTGGATGACCAAGAGCAAGTGCTCCAGGTTTCCCAGCATCGTCTCACTCCAGTCTTGCCCTCGTGCATGCCTCAATGCCGCCACGGTGCACTCGACCAAGGCCAAGGCTGCCACCATTTCTCGACGGCGCAGGTCGATCCTGGGTTTGGCTGCAAGGAACAGGCCGTTATCCCGAGCAACCTCGCTCAAAGGCACCGACTCTTGCTCGCCTGAGCTAAACTTTACATCGACCTCACCAACAAGCCTAGTTTGACAACCATGAGTCGTGTTCGTAAAAAAAGAAGAATAAAAACGACGCTGGACCGAGTATGCAAGAATAGCGCGCGCTCACTGTGTAAACTGATGGCCGGCTTCTTCGGAAGCTCTGAGCATCTTGGTCGGTCGGTGCATGCTCGCCGTGCAATGCGTCGTCGACAGATTGGAGAGCCGCTGCCGCCTCGTCGCCCGCTTGGCCGGGTATCCCAGGCACCGACGTGCCCATGTTCCGTTCTTGGAAACACGTTGCCTATTGACTTTGCATCTCTGCCTCTTTTTGCTTTGCCTTTTGCAAAGACGGTTGGCAACGAGCACGACCCGCACCATCAAGACGATACTTGGCAACGGCATCGCCAACGGCAACACTCCCGGACGACGACTCCTGTCCATGGTTGGTATGGCGCGAGATGGAAATAGAACGGACAAAGACAAAATGACTGATGTGATGGGCAAGACGCGTAGCTCGTGGCTAGCGTCAGCCTCATATACGTAAAATGCCAGCCTCTTTCCGACTCGCAGCCTTGTCCAACGGGCGCTGGTGACGTCTAAAGGTGCCTTGAGCATGCGTGAATGCCCCAGGCTGCACAAGGCTGGGATCAGGCTAGTGACAAGGCCGACGTTAGGCTCAAATCTCACTGCTACACCAGAATCGCGGGTGACGAAAGAAATGTCAACTCCAAGATTTGGTACCAAAGACGCTTGGCAAAAATGGTATTCAAATCACCAAGTCAAATTGTATGTATACATGGAGCATTCAAGCACCTCCCTACTAAAAGACTCGGACGTTTGGGCTCGGGGAAGGATGGCTACAGGGAGCATTCAAGCACCCCTGCTCTGCCTTGCGAGTTGACATCTTTCTTGCGGCCCATTGTGCCAGGGTCTTTGCCAATCCATACGCGCATGCTGGCTGTGGCTGTTGCACGCGCCTGAGGCGTCGAGGCGCAGTGTCGACTACGCCGCATCGCAACCGCGTGCTCGCCCAGCAGTCGTCCAGCAGAGCATTCGACATGTGTGCTGTCAATAAAACACAGCCGTCGTCACACACAGACACGCGCACACAGCCCGTCGCTGTACTCTAGACTAAACGGTGCAACAACACACTTTTCGTTCGGAGCAAGGCTGGCCGTCAACTCCGATGGTTACCGTCGTGTTTGCCAACTTGTTAAAAATGGCAAGCTTCCAGAACAAAATTCCGCCGGGGCCTCGCAGAGAGCCGCCATCAATCTGTTATGCTTTGTCCCCTTCAGCTTCATCAAGCGACCCGCGCCGGCCTAAGCCGAACCGGGCAATAGGTCCTGTGCGACTGGGCTCCTACTGGTCATGATTATTTTCTCTTTCTTTTAGTGCCTCTCGACTTTGAATGTTGAATGGATGCGAGCGAACAGCACCGCCTCTGTCTGCCATGCAGCGACCAGGGTCAGCCCAACGTCGTCGCGCTGATGGTGCGCCTTCAGGGGTCTCATCAGTTGAGGCGGTCCCGTCCGCTTGACCTTGTTTGAATTCGACCATGCTCTCGTCCCTCTCCTTGGCACCTCCATGTACATTCAGCAGGTACGGTTGTTCGGTAGCCCGAGACCGAGTCCCAGCGCGAGGAGTAAACCTCCTCTCCCACCCAGCCGGTCAGAATGTTTCACGTCAATTGAATGTGCATGACTGATTGCCAGGCGGGACAGCAACATGGCATCGCTGAGACTTGCGCGTAGACCACCTCATCGCACTGGATTCCCGTTTTGGTCTACATCGTGCCCGTTTCTTGGCGCAACATCTTGACTATTCGGGCGTCGTCACATTGCGAGAAGCACTGGCGGTGCCAAAAGTCTTGTTCGCTGACCAAGCCCTCGCGCCTTCTATTTGAGATGCGTACCTTGCGAAGCTCAGCCTCGTAGGGCAGACACGAGGAGGAGTATGCGACAGGTACCTCGGAAGGTTGTTGTCGCGTCCTTCTCCGTTGCGTTCGCTCGCTCGTTCGCTTTCTGCCGCTCCGCCGCGCCGCCCGCCGCGCCATCATCCTTCCCCTCCCGTCCGCCAAAGGAAAATCCAAAACATGCTACACCTACAAACTTCTTGGGGATCTCTGCCTGACGTTCGGCTCCCGCTTCGAAACGTCTGCAGCGTCTTGTGACCCTCTGCCCTGTGAGACCGCCGACTCGCCGACTGTCTCTGGGCGGGGCTGTTGTTTTTTCAGATGTTCGCATGTCGTCGCATTGAGTTTGGCCTTGCCTAAGGCATGATGAGACTGAGGCTCCATGTTCGTTCGATTATATTGCACAAGGATGGCTGTGCGCTGTGCGTACGCAATGCACTTTTTTTTCGCTGGCATTGGCGAGAGGTGCAGAGGCCAAGCGACTGAATTTGTGGCGCACGAGATTGGCGTCGTCATGGAGGTTGGTTGGTGGTGAGGAGGTTCGTGTCTCTCTTTTTTCGGTACACTTGCATGTCCCTTATCTCTTATCGCTCTCTCACTTCTCCACCGTGAATTTTCTCAACGCCTTTGCGCTGCGCCCCAAGCCCCTCTTTTCGCCACTGCTCGCCTTGGGTTTTCGGGAGGCCACGACCCGCCCTCTTTCTTGCCCATCTTGAGAAGAAGCGAATGCGGAATCGTCTTGCTCGTTCCTCAGTTCCGATGCGTTGAGAATTATGATGTATGCAAACCATCTTTCTTCTATCAACATCCATCATGGTCTAGTGGCTAGGATTTGCCGCTTTCATTACGAGAGTGCCGGCAAGGCCCGGGTTCAATTCCCGGTGATGGAATAACTCCTCGAGTGGTTCTTCTTTTGCTCTTCTACTGTCTTGGGGCAATCTGTGGGGTGGAGTCGTTGGTTTGCATATTTTTTGCTGGGGCACGCAGGTGCGTGGTTGAGAGTGGAGAGGGTAGGAAGTTGCAACGAAGCGTGGAGAGAAACAAGTGCGAGAGGGCAAATGGTTTGAAGCGAAGAAACCGCCGTAAGAACGATGTTGGGGGCCGAAAGTGTTTTTGCCCTCTTCCGAGTGGACTGCTCGACGACGGAGAACAAATGTAACGGGGCAGATGAAGAATGTGGGAAGAACAGAACCTGGAGAGATGCTGCTGACAAGAAAGCAGCTGCAAGCAATGAAGACCTTCTCCAATCTAATCGCAACCAACAAATCTTGCAGCGCTTTGAGGATTCAAATACCAGAGAGTTAAGAACTTTTGATCAGTATTCGAGTGCTAGCTAAAACTGCTCGAGTCTGAAGAATTCTTCATCTTGCTCCTCTGTTCAGCCAACGTTAAAGTAGAAGATGAGGACAGACGGAGATGGTCTAGTCTCAAAAAGGCAAGTGCGATGCACACGCGACTTCCTCACGACCGACTTCTACTCGAAAACACCACACGCTCCTCCATCTCACATCTATGGATCACTCGCCGAACTCGTTTTACAACTCCAGTGCATCCCCTCCGAAAGACAAACGGATCATACCGCCGCTCCAGTCGCACATGCGTCAGCAAGCAGCGCCGTGTGGCTGACCGTGGCTGGCGACGGGCCGCAACGCAAGATCCGGTTGTGGCTGCTTTCAGACGCGCAAGGATGGCGCTCTCGATTCTTCCAAGGCCCTCTCTCACTTCTCCTTGATGCCCTTGGAATCCTGCCTGTCAACGTGGTACAGCGACCAGCTGACCCGGGTTGCGAGAAGCACTGCCCCATCGGACCAAGCCGCGCTGAAGTCAAGTTGACGATAGGCGTGCCTGCCGGCGGACGGGTGTCGATGCTGCTCTGCCTTGGACTTGTGCGCGGCTCATGTCCACAGACAGGACTCGTCCGTCCGCTGTTCCGCGGAGCCTCCGTGGCTAGTGCTTGACGCGGGGGGTTGCAGACATTCGCCCCGAACTCCACCTTTGGCTTTGCGAGAACAGCGAGGCTCTCTGGATACAGGCGAGCTTTTTGAATATTCCCTGATGAATAGGAGCGCCGATCTGGTGGGCAGCTTCTAGAGCTGTTCCGTCTTCTTGCCCCTTGCGTTCTTTCCTCGTTAGCCCCCTTTAGCCTTCCAGAGGCGAGCCAAATCTCTCGCAAAGATTTGAAACAAGCATTTCGTCGCTGGAAGAGAGCACATGGAGATCTTCAAAAGAGCACGGATATGGGATTCAGGCGTTTGACAAGTCTACGTGTCAGACGCCGACTACTTTAAATCCATGTTCGCCGTGGCAGAGCCCTTTTCTTTCCGTCCGTCTTCCTTTCAAAAGTTGACAGCGAGGCCGTCGTTCTGGGGATAGCTTCAGCCCCAGGTCTCGCGGGCGACCATACTTTGGCCCTGGCCATATATGCCTGACCGGCAGCCAGCCAGCCCCTTCACCCGCTGGGCGGGACTTTCATTCATTCACCACCATGACTGCGCGCTTTGACATTGACAGCCCAGCATTCAAAGCCGAGCGCAAGAGCTACTACATTTCGACCATCACATGTCTCGTCATAACCTTTGTGTTCGTCGCGGCAAGATGCTTTGTGCGATTGGGGCTCCAGCGACAGTTCAGCGTCGATGACTACTTGATGGTGGCGGCAATGGTGAGGCTTTCGGTCTGCGTTGCGACTGCTTCCTTCTGACCTGCAAATAGGCAACGTTCATCCTCGAGGCTGTCTTTGCATTGAGCAGCCTGAGTCACTGGGGACATAGCGACATTGACGCGGAGAAAATCAGGACATGCCTGCAAGTATGTACTCGCAACCTCTGCACGCCTCGCTCGCTCATCAAGTGACACTGGCCAAGGAGCCGCAGAGCTGCACGCCTCCAACAACCAAACCTCCCACTAACACTCCGCAGCTGTTTTCGATAGCGCAAATCATGTACGGCTTCGACATTATGCTGTTCAAGCTGAGCATCGCGACGCTACAGCTCCGCGTCATGGGGCTCGTCAGCTCCGTCCGGTATACGCATTACATTTCCATGGGCATCAACATCATCATGGGCTTCTTCATGTTCTTCTGGGCCCTGTTTCAGTGCGTCGACTATAATGGTATCCAGATTCCGTTTGCGCTGCCATGGGACCATCCGGTTTGCCTCGGTCGTAAAGGCGTCACTGTCGGCATCTATGTCTACTCGTGCCTCAATGTGTTGTTGGATTGGTACTATGCGCTGGCCATGGTACCCATGATTTGGAAGCTGCAACAAGTGCAGCGCCGCGTCAAGCTGTCGGCGTGCGTGCTGCTCGGCCTGGGAATCATGTAAGTCGGTCGAAAGGCCCCCGCGATCACCGCATTCGACACGGCGTTGACTGACACTCCACCAACAGTGCCAGCATCGCCACGATAATCCGCTTCCACTACATTATCGAATTCGAAGAAGCCTTCTACGGCACCGGCGACATCCTCGACAACTTTGACAAGACGGCCACCTGGTCGCTCATCGAGCAAGCCGCCGGTATCTGCGCCGCGTGTCTCTACACCTTCCGACCGCTCCTGCGCCTCATCTCAGACCACCTCCCATCCTGTTGCTGGCGCAGCAAATCGCAACACCACAATGGCGATCACGACGACACGGGCGCCGTGCTGCCGTCATGGCGCAACACGAACGACATTGATACGCAAACGTGGCGCACGGCGTCGACGGCGGACTTGAGGCAGGAGAGCGTCGTCACGCGCACCATTTTGAGCACGTCGACGATGGCGCAGTGGGATGTCCATGGCGGGAGGGAGAATAGTTGTATTGAGTTGAAGCAGAAGGACGCGTTGAGTTTGCTGTCGGCGTGACCACTGACTGCCTCGGCGATGGCATTTGTTCTTAAAAAGGTTGGAGTTGTGGCATACACATCCTCCTAGATTTGCAATCTTACAAAAAACCCTTTGCCTGCATAGAAAGGCGAAAGAATCAAATCAGTCAAAAACAAAAAAGGGCAGAGCAAAAGAAAATGGCAGACTCCAGGAGTCGAGCTCTGACCGGGGACAACAAGAAAGCGAGCTACCGTAACCCCCCCCCCCCCCCCCCCCCCCCCCCCACCCAAAAAAAAAAAAAAGGACCTTATTGATTCGAACCACTCCTGTCACGTATGTAGGTGTTGGTTGTGAGGAAATGCTCTCTCTCTCTCGTCCAGGTCCTTTACGAGTGGGAATATATGTGAATGACCTTGCAAGTCTTTTTTGTTCGGGCTGTGAGGAGAGGCACTCACTTGAATGCTACCCACTCACTGTCCAGTGTCCAGTGTCCACCAACTCTGCGAACCAAGGCAGGCCAGGCCGATTATTGGAAAGCCTCCCTCCCTCCCTCCTTCTCTCCCTCCCTGCGTGTGCACTAAATCCACAGTGTGCCTGCCTCTCATGCGCGAGGCCGCGGCTTTTCATCGCACCGTTGACGTGAAAAGAATGGATTTGCAAAATCTTTCGAGCGACTATCTTCGACGAGCTATTGCTTACCGGTAGAAGGGGGGGACTTGGGGGGAAGTGGAGGAGGAGGAGGAGGGGGTCCTTTTGGAATTCAAGTGCTGATTTTGGGGGCTCACTGTTGTGCTGTTGGTTGGGTGTGCGAGGAGAAGGGGGGTAAGGGGGGCAAGAGGGGGGAGGGGGAGTTGGGCGAAGAGGAAAGTAGGGGTTGAAGCACGACTCACCGCGCGTGCCCCATCGTCATTTCCCAAGCTGAGCAATTACATCCGTGGTGGTGGTAGTTGAGAGAGAGAGAGAGAGAGAGAGAGAGAGAAAAGGATGGTAGAAGGAAATGTCAAGAAGCCAAAGACGACTGCACAACAACATCTGCAATAGCGAGGATGAGCAAAGTCGGGCATTGGACGCAAGTGTAGAGGCGGCTGGGAGTAGTAGTAGTAGTAGTAGTAGTAGAAGATTAGCTAGCTAGCATATGCATTCAGTCTATCTATCGGCTTTCTCTACCGCATGCTTTTCTCTCTTTTTGACATCCTGGCACGGATGAGCTATTGAATTGCGCAACCGAAAAAAAAAAAAAAAAAACGTTTCGCCGTCAATGGCATAGGCAGGGAGGTATGAGCGTCCCCCAAAACAGGTAAAATGCAGTGTGATGTGATGGAATGAGACAACCAAGGCGCCGTCGCTATGCATAAGAAGGAAGCACGAAAGAAAAAAAGGATGGGATGGGTATGCCCAGGGCGGCACGGGACGGGACGGCACGATCAACGCTGCCGGCGGTCCGCCGCGTGGGGAAGGAAGGAATCGAAAGAAAAGAAACCAACGGCAGGAAGGAGGGCAGGCTCGAATAAACGACAGGGTAGTTGCGAGCAGGCTCTCTCCTCACGGGTGGATTCCCACTCTCAACACGAGATCGCCGCTGTCGCCCCCCTCGCGCGTTGGCGTCAGGCGTGTCGCTGTGCCTGTTGGAGACCACAGAGCACCAACACCATTACCGCCACCGTACCCCTGTCCATAGCGGTATACCGCATGCTGCGTCTGTGGCTGCGCGTGTGCGGGCGCTCGATACCGCTCCCACGCCTCTCTGCCCATCATCCCCTGCTGGCCCATCTGCCCCTGTCCCTCATGCAGCACGACCGTCCCAGCTACCATGATCTTGCCTCCAGAACACGTGCTCCCACTGCTATCCGAACTGTCGTTCCTCGCAGCAGCAGCCGCCCCTGCGGGCAGACGACTGTACCGGTCTGGATCTTTCCACGGTACGACAGCGTCGCCGCCGCCGCTCGCGTGGCTGCTGCGATCCGTCCGCCCCGTTTGCTGCGACGAGGGCGGCCCCACGGAGAGCGTGCCGTTGCTGTTGTTGTGGAAGACAGTCGTGTAGGGCGGGGCGGGCGGCGGGTAGGTGTACGATCTGTCGACGGTGGC